CCGGCGAACCCCGGGCCGCCAAGAAGCAGAATGTGCGAACTTAACCGCTGCGTCACCGGGCCGGCCCCGCAATTCCTCTTTCGACTGCAGAGGAAATCACGAAGGCTAGCCAAGAGGAATGACATGTGGTAACGGAGGATCCTTCCTGAGATCAGCGTGAGGATGGGGCCTCAATAACTTATACCAGGCATAGTGGTGTGGCAGTTAGACTTGGGTTCAAGTCCTATCTTGATTACAATCTATGTAATCTTGGTTAAAACAAACAACTTGTTCTTCTAACTTCTGCAGAAGCACAAATGGGAAGGAAACCTCTTCCTGGGGACACAGGAAAGCATCCCCGGGGAGGCGATATTTGGATAGGGGTGAAAGTTGCAATAGGACCCTACCATGCAGTGCACAGGCTTTGGCGGAAGGTCTACCACTTATCGCCTGTGTGGTTTTGGGCAAGTGACTTAACCTCTCTGAGCCTCAGTTTCCTCATCTGTAAAATGAGACAGACTCTATGGATCTAATTTGATTGTTTCCAAGACTGTAAATGATAATGCTGCTTTTGTAATGATTTCATCAGGCCGCTTGACCTGTTACCCTGTGCAGGTATTCAATTACTGATTTCAATTCGAGCATCGCCAGGAGCTCCACTGTCTTGTTTTGTGGCTGGTGGGTTTTTTCTTCAGAGTCTGAGACCACTCCCTCACCATGCCAGTCAGGAGACATTTACCCGAGTCTCTTCGGGTACAGGAAAGAAAGGCCAGACCCAGGGGAGGAGAAGGTGGGAGCGGAAGAGAACAGGGAGGGCTCCAAACCTTGCAGCAGTTAATGTTAAGATAGGTGTCGGCATAGGAAGCGTCTTCTAATGACAGAAGGAAACAAGGGGGTTTTTCAATCATCTCCTGCTTAACAGATACAGATGTATTCATAATTATCCCTTGCCTCGGGCCTCGAGGCCCAGGTGGGCTCCAGAAGGCCTGTGTTCCTGCCAGACGAGAGTCCTTAAAGAACATCATGTAGACAATTGGAATGCCATTTATCGTGCAAAACACAATAAAATCCCGGGCCCTCTTCCTGTCTCAGAGACCCATAAATTATGAAAATTATACCTGCCCCGGGCCACGGACATATTGTTTTATTAAAGTTCCGATGAATAAACTTAGGGCTCTTAAAAATGTCCTCTCCGCTTTCATCTGGCACACACCTCCAGCATGGAGCTGTCTGCTGGGGTTCATCTGTTCGTTCACAAGCGAACTTTGGAAAGTTGAGCTCCTTTCAAGTTGCAGGTTCAGCAGGCAGGAGGGGCCGGCAGGGGAGCTGCGGGAGTGGCTTGGGGCCTCCTGGCCAGATGACAAAGCTGCCCAACGGGTTCTAGTTGTCTGCCGCCAGAACTGGGACTGCCCCCTGCCCAGACGATTCACTTTTTGCAGGATGAGCACCAGGCTTGGGGTGCCCTCATAGAGGGCATGGGTTATGGGTGTGGAGAGGGTTAAAGTTCTGCTTCTTCCCCCTTATTTTTAAATTTGATCAGTTCGTCCTGTGATTACTCCCCAAACTGAGTTGCTAAAACTTCAACTGTCTGTTTTTCCCATCTACCCCTCAACTGTGTATTTATTGGGCAAGTTGACAACTTTGCCGAAACTTGGTTTCTGCATGCCTAAGAGGGACTAACAGTGGTATCTGCCGTGTATGTCCAGCACCTGGCGAAAACGCTCAATACCCACAACCATTCCTATTACCCAAAGCCATTTTAGAACTGGGACCCAAGAGGAACAGGGGCCAGTCAGTGAAAGAAAGACAAGGCGAGCACGTGGGACATTTTCCCTGGACACTGACTTTTTTAAAACAAGCACACGTTCATTCAGCTCCCATTTCCCCAAGAGCATTTGGGTGGGTGAGACTCTAAGCACCCAACGACCTGTCCAGGCTTTGTCGTTTTTAATCTCCAAACACTAGAAACAATTAAAGTAAAACCAGGGACAAGCTTTCTCCATGTCCCCACTCATCAGGAAACCCAAGACTGAATCAAAGCCCGGTATACAGAAATTGGGACCCAGCCGATTAAAAAGAAAAGCACCTCTAAGTGCCAGTGACTTACCTTGTCAGGGAGGGAAGACTCTGGAGCACTCATTACCCTCCGTCCATCCTGTGGGAAGGGAAGTCACGTGGTCTGGCAGAGGGAAGCCAGAGCCTGTCTTTAAAGTTCTAGAGCAGACAAGACCGTGTTGAGGAAGCGCATCTTTGCACCTTCTTGAGCAGTGACCAGGGGATCCTTGGGATGTGTCTGGATGTCTCCAAGAGGGACCCGAGGCTTTCACAAAAGATCGGAAGATGCCATAAATGGTGACCCCAGAGAAACCAACTGGACCCAGGGCTTCTGACCTCATCTCCCTCCACCCACCTCCTCCCCACCATCGTTGGTTGCCTGCCTCTACTTATCAAAATCTTTACTGTTGTTCCTTTTCTTTCAGAACACAACAAGCTTGCGTTCACAAGTTCAAAAAAAAGTCCAACTTTCACTGTGATTGGCGTTATGAATTAAAAATAATGAAAAGTTCCCCCCACGACATAAATTGATAAGTAATCAGGTCTCTACCAAGTTTGGAGTGTATTTGGTGGGGGAAATAGGGGAAACAGACGGAAGGTGCATTAGAGGGGCAAGTCATTAAATGGATGGAAGGCTGTGGAGGTCAAAGAACTGGTTTTATACAACACCCACCAATCTAGTGAAAATAAGGAGACCGCCAAGGGCTTTTCTGTTGGTCTCCTTGAAGCACGTATGTGTGCCATGTGCATGGAAATCTGTTCTGGGAGCACCAGGGCACAAAAGGAAAGAGCTGCAGAATTTCTGTGACCTGAGCAGGTCAGATGACTCTTTCTCCCTCCACCACTTCCCAGTTTGAGATTTGATGTCCATCTCTTACAAATACAGCCCTGAGGAGGGGAGGGCTTGCCAGAGGAGCACTTACCAGCACCTGGCAGGATTCAGCTTCCTAGGAAAGTGAAGCTTTCCTCCAATGGTTCGAAGGTCATCCTAAAGGCAGGACATGGGACAGCCCTGGCCAGGAAGCCCCTCTCTCTGGCCCTTTGTCCTGCCAGAGTTGAGGTATGCACTTCCAGTTAGTGAGTGTCCTTTGACAATCCTGAAGCCTTGCTGGGTGAGGATGTCAGGGTGAGAACACACAAACACACGAGAAACGGCAGTCCTGTGTATATTTAACAATATATATTTATATATATTTTCTAGATCAGTACATTCAGTTTTTAACTTGTTTTTTTCTTCACAAACAGAAGAACTCTTACAATAGTAGACTTTCTAAAATAAATACTATTAAAATAGAGCTTCAAAATAAATATTCTATACAAAGGAAACCTTCTGTGGTAACTTTGTTGTGGGGTGAGAAGGGGCCACAGTGAAGGGGAATGAAGTAGGAATGTGGTGCAGTGGGAACCTTGACAGCTTTTCTGTTCGTAACACAAAACCAAACCGTGGGGCAGTGAGAAGAGAAAGCAAAATACCACACAGGGTTACCCACGGCAAAAATGGCAGCACGACATTTGTCTTCAACTGTCATAGTAAGCAGAGGGCACGAAAATGCTTACAGAAGGCATGAACCAGAAAGCCGGTGAAGCTTGTGGGATGCCCTAGTGGGTTGTACAGTGCAAAGTTGTGCTGCCCACACCCAATGGGACATCTCCTGGGGCAGCATGGGAGGAAAACATGAAGCTTTGAGGTGATGGAATCTGGGTGCTGGTCCCAACCAACACTTGCCACGTTGTGAAACCTTGGACACGTTATTATCTAACTGGGCTTCTCTCAATGTACAGTGGGGACCGGCAGAGACTCCAGAATGCGGAAAGAAGCCAGATGCATCACATGCAGGTCTTCTGTCTCTGCAAGCTGTGAAGGGGCCACATCCACAGCAGGGATTGGTCTTCACCTCCTTCTGGCCAGGGACCATGAGGAGCCTTGGTTGCACTCCCTCATCTATCTGGGAGGGCTTGGCTGTCCTAGACCCAGTCCCCAGGGTGCTTGTGGAGTGTTGGCCCTTCACACACCCACCTCAGTGGGGAGCAGTCAAGGTTGCCTAGGACAAGTGTCCTGGACCCAGGCTTGTGGACCCCATCTCCCACCCCAGGTTGAACAGAAGTGGGAACCAGGTGGCACTTTTCAAAAAAGGTCAAGACGAGGCATAATCCAGCCAAGCAAGCTGTTGGTGACAGGAAACACAATCAGCCAGAAGCAGCCACAGAAATGTGTCACGTTTCCGAGAGCTTTGGTCCCCCAGTGGCCCTCAGGGTCCACGGGCAAGCCAATTTTGTTTTATTTTTTGCCAAGAAAAACATGCTGAAGGACTGCTGTGCAGCAGAGCTGGGAGAGCCAAAGCTGCTTCAGTCCTCCCCTTGAGCCCCGAGCGCACGGGGCACGAGAGTTCTGCGGAATCCATTCTAGCAGGTTAAATGCCAACCAGAAAGAACAAGCCAAAACAGGGAGGAAAAAAAGAAAACCAAAACCCAGAAAAATCCGTGTTTACAACTATGTACACAAAAAGTCAGGGTTCAGGAGGCTGTTTGCCAGGAAACAGGGTCTATGTAGATAGAGGGTCGGTGGGATAGGGGGTTGTGTGTGCGTGTGCGTGTGTGTAGACACAGCTTATGTAAATCAAGTCTCCAGAGAATGGGCACGTAGAACACCAAGATCACCAAAGTGCATCTCGCCCCTGGGTCAAGTTTCCCATGGAGACATTTGAGGGAGGGGCTCTGGGAAAAGTTCTGAGGCCTCGCCAAGAGTGGACATGTGCCCCCTCTTTTTGGCGTAACCTCTGCACACCTATTCTGAGGAAGACATCTCCAGTCCCTTCAGTACACATCTGATACATTCAATTAGCATAAGTGGTTGGCTGAATGTGTTTTTTCTACCATTCCCTCCGATTTGTGCAAGAACATCCACACATCCGTCATGACTGTGGCAAGGGTAGCCACATGAATCAGCCTTAGAGAACGCAGATGCATTATTTCATATTCGCCTTTTACAAGCTAGCAAATGTTATATAAATAAAGCGTAAAGTAACAAGACCCTCCCCTCCTTTCCTCCAATCAATAAATACCTATGGTTACAATTAACTTATTCTAAATCATAAGATGTTACTACTAGTCTTCAAGAAGGGAAAAAAAAGTCCTTGAGAAGCATTGGGTGCATGCCAGTCACAGCTACCTTCCTCTTTGCGCCCTTTTCTGGAGGCAGTTCTGTCCCTACAGAACAAACTGGAAATGCTGCCTAATGAATGCCTTCCAGTTTCACCTGGGGTAGCTTTTCTGACCCAGGCCACTTCCTCTCATTAGGGGAGGAACACAAAATACCACACGAAGCAAAAACCCCGAACAACAGCTGGGGAGGACCAGACACACTACAGCTTTTGCATGCAACAAGTACCTACCCACTGGACGTGCTGCACTTTCTGAGTCCTTTAGCACCTTGAGAGAAAGAGTTGCTACGTCTTTGGGGGCTGTCGGGAGGGGGTGGTGTGGCCACGCACAGAAGCAGGGCTCAATCCTAAGAAGCCCCTGGAGAATCTTTTCCCCCACCCACGCTCTTCTGACTCCCCCACCAGGGCTTCCTAACACTAAAATAGACTCTTTTTTCATCATCTGTCTATTTACATTAAAGATACAGACACATCACTGTACACAAAAGGCTATGACAGAAAGCAGCAGAATCAGAAGAGAGGAAACCCACACCCAGCTCGGCTCAACTGTCACTCTGCCAACGGGAGGTGATACCTCTCTTCTTTGCTGTTAAATCCTCTTCTTGGTGAGGAGGGGGATTGTGCTCCTTGAGGTTGCTCGCCCCCCAGATTTTGAAATCAGCCCTTCCTGGGGGTGGCCCAAAAGGAAGCAAGTGTTTTATTATTATTTTTTAAAACACCGTTAGCATCTGGTTTAATTATTCTATAAAAACATGATGACTGGATCCAGAGACCACAGCCTCAGACTCATTGGCAAAATGCTATTTGGTCTCGCGTTTGCCGCCCCGGCCTTCTCTACCCATAAAGTTTTTGGATCTGGGTAGAGAGACCTTGGGACGCGTAGCGGGCAGGTGAGCCTGTGACTCGGTAAGAACCGAGGGACGGTGCTATGAGTGGAACACCCCCAAGAGTTAGTGATGAAGCTGAAAGGGAGAAATGCACTGTGCAGTGGCTCCTAAGTGCGTCCGTGGCTCCGGGGAGGCAGATTGAGGAACGAGGCCTGGACTCACTGGCCGTCCTCTTTTCTCAGGGGGTTCCCAAGTATATACAACAGAGATTGCTAGGGTCTACACCGTCCCCAAGATGTCGCAGCAAACTGGGGGGAGGGAAGAGGAGAAGAAGGTACTGACGTCAAACTCCAAGGGTCTTCTTCAAAAGTCCCCTGGCCACTCAGTTAATGATTCCTTCCAGGCAGCCAGAGAATGAAAAAGAGGTGGGGAGAAAGGGAGGGAGGAGGAAGGACTGGGAAGGCATTCAAGCAGCTGCAACTTCCGGATATGTGTCCACATCTGTGTTTCGTCTTCTGGAAAAGAAAAATCCCCCCAAACCATACCACGCCCCTGCCACTGTCTGACACAAAGTTCCAGGACCCTGGAAAAAACCCAAAGTGCTTCTTCATCCTTTTGGGGAAGAGAGGGTGGGCGATGGTGGTCTCTGTTTGTTCAGAAGCTGGAGGTGGGGAGCAGACAGACTAGCAAGGTCAGCCTCAGGATGCTAAAACCGCTGGCCTCGCCGTGGTCTTCTCAGGTGTCAGAAGGGAACCAAGTTTCCAGGGGACTTCAACCCAAAGTGTCAGAAAGGCTTGTCGGGTCTGCTGGCCTTGGCGTCCCCGGCGGCTGCCTTGCAGATGACGCTGTTCGTATGCTTGCAGCGGCAACCGGGGCGGCGCAGGCGGTCGTAGCCACGCTGGGCCAGCTTCACGCAGCCGGTGGCAGGCAGGTAGCAGAGCAGACAGGGCAGCACCACGGAGAGAGCGCCCATGAAGGACCAGCGGGCGCAGCAGTTTGAGCGGGAGCAGGAGCAGGGGTGGTCGGCGCAGGAGCCCTCATCGTCCTCGTTGGTGCAGTGGTAGAAGATGCCCTGCACCAGGCACATGCAGGTGCCGTAGTTGACCAGGGTCTGGGCTGAGCACAGGCACTCCTGATTGCAGACCCAGCAAGAGGGCAACGTCCGGGGGGACGCGCACTCCTTGCACTTGCACTTCCCGCAGGCCTCGCACAGCAAGAAGTGCTTGTCCAGCTCTGGTGGGACTGCTGGGCCCTTGAGGTCCAGCGGCTTGCAGTGGACTGCCTTGGGCTGGATGCGCACAGCCCTCGGGGAGGCCTGTTCAGCCACGGGCGGTGGTGCCATGTGGTCCAAGAGCCGCTGGTCGGAGGACGTGCTGCTGCTGCTGCTCACGGAGCTGGGCCGCCCGCTGAAGGAGATCCAGTGGTGGGTGACGTCCTGGTCACAGCGGGCAGGCGTCGGGGCCAGCTCCGGGGCCCCTCCCCGGGTCCGCTTAGGGCCAGTGGGGGGCGCCAGGCCAGGGTTGTCTATGTAGTCGTTCTCCACGTGGCTGGTCTTCATCTGGTCGATGGGGAGGATAGTGAGTGGGTGCTGGAGCCGGCTGTGGGGCATACGGCTGTCAAGAAGAGGCTGGACCATGACTGAGCTGGGAGTCAAGGGGACGCTCTGTGGGATCGGGGGCTCCATGGGGCTGGAGATCCTGGACTGCACCGAGAAACAGGCTTCTAGGGGCCCTGGGGTTGGGGGTGGGGAAAAAGAAGAGAAAATGGATTGCAGGCATCAGTACGTGGCCTGTTAACACTCCCACCCCCCATCAGGTCCTTAAGAGCCCAGATGAAATGGGAACTGGATTCCCTCAGTGGACTGTCCAGCGTTAAGGCTTAGACAATTAATAATGACAATGATAATAATAGTACGTGGTAGAAATAACACTTATTTAGCACTTAATATGTGCCAGGCACTCTCCTAAGCACTATATATATTAAAGTCACTGACTCTTCAAAATAATCCTAAAACCTAGTTACCATTGTTATCCCCTTTCTAGCTACAGAAAACTAATGTTCAAAGTAACTTGTCCAAAGTCACACAAAACTATCAGTTGCAAAAGCAGGACTCAAACCTGGGTGGTTCAGGGTCATTCTTGTATCTCTGTGCTCCTTATTATGATAGACAGTTCAGTGGTCATAAACACAGGCTCTACAGTCAGAGCCAAGTTCCAGTTCTTACCTCGGCGGAGCAGTGTTGCCGTGAATGGGGTTCTTTAACCTCTGTGCCTTAGTTTCGTCATCTGTACAATGGGTTCTTGTGAGGATTAAATGAGAAAATGCCTATCTAGTACCTAGCATCTCGCCCGGCACACAGCAAGTACTTAGTCATTTATCACCATCCCGGAGAACAACAGTTGCGATTTCCTGAGCACCAATACGCACTACGTGCCAAGCATTGTGCCAAGCACTGAGGATGTGGTGACCATGACAGACAGCCTCTGTGTGCTCCCATGGAGTTTATCAGCTGGATAAACAAAAGCCTTTATTTCAGATAGTCACCAGAGAAGGAAGGGCGGTATCTGATGCCTGCCGTCCAGGATATTAACTTATTACCACCCCTTCTAAGAGCAGCCACCCTTGGTGGCTAATAACCCCCAGGTAGGTGTGCTTCTGACACTTGGATGGGAAATCCTCAGGGGGCACTCACATCACCCATTCCCAAGAGCTGAGCTGAACAGTCAGCCTAAATGCTATTTACTAGAAGAGCTAAGCCAACCCTGGATCAGTTTCTAATTTCACCGGGAGAGTGCAATTTTAAGCTGGAATCCGGCCAGAGATTCAACTGCACAGCCTGACACGGAACCCCAGGAAGTCACTTAAATCAAAGAGCGGAAACGACTTGGTTCAAATTTAGAAAGTGCACATTGTTTTCTATTAGAAGTGCCATTTCCTCGCCTGCTGACCTTTACATTCGGAATTCGGCTGGAGATCAATTTAAAGAAAGAGCAGCAGAAGGCCAAGACCTCTGCCCAAGGGGACACGATTTGGAATCCAAGAGAAAGATTAGACTCTGGGAAGATTCCACCAGGGGATGGGGGTGGGGACAGAACAGGGTGCAGACAGAAGGGGAAGATAATCTCTCTCTTTTTCTTTTCTTTTTTTTAAAAATAAGACCATTGGATAAATGTGTTATGGGGTGGGGTTTCAGTAAATGCTTTTTCAAGATGCTAAGGACCTTCTAATTAGGAGAGCCGACCCTATACCTCTGCTCTTAGGTTCATCTTGCCTCAAAGGGGATACGGATAGCTGTCCACTTCCAGGTAACTCCATACCCTTCCAGACTCGGGACACAGCCGGTTCATCCCAATATTCCAATCACAGGAGAATGACACCTCGCCCAGGGGACTCATCCATACTTATCCATGTCTATAGTAAGGAGGGAAGAGGGGAAAAAAGGCATTCAGGACAACTCACTGCTATACTTCCCCTATTTGGAAACAACTGTTTGATCAGAAATGCTTACATTGTTGGGGAAGGGCTTCCAACCTTGCTGCCCAGCCTGTCTGAAATAAAAAGCTAGCTCTAGATGCAAAGTTCATGAAGGGGATAAAAGGGAGCTTATCCACAGGGCTCTCTGTATGACCATCTATATTGCAAAATGCAAAAAAGCATTCAGTCCTCTACAGGTTCAGTGCTCAGCCAACTGGTACTTCCCATTTGCATATGGCAAGCACTGTTGGCTTTGCTCCCATGGCCCTACCTACTATTTCTGTGCAGTTTTTCCCATCTTGGAGAAAGTCTGCCTAGTGGCAGCACCTGCCTCCTGTCGCCATGTTCCCTCCAGATGGAAGGAGAGCATCATCTTCAAATGGCAGACACTTCCTCATGGCAAGAGTTAGCCTTAAGTTTCTGGCAGGTCTGCCACAAAGAAGTAGTCACTCGCCAAGGCAGCCTCCTGCGGGGACCCTGTGGTCAGGGCTGGATGGGGAAATGTCAGATTAACATCAACAGAAAGGACTTTTTCCGTGGACTTTTTGTCCACAGAGCAAGAACTTCAGGGAATGCCACCTCAGCCCACTTATTCTTTGCAGAGGTTCCAAAGCCTTGCTTCTAGAATAAATGGGTTTGGGGTCAACAGGAAGAGGGTTAGGAACCCCAGGTCCCAGCCCTGGGGCCTTTGCCTGGAGGAAAAGGTGTGACTAGGCACAAGAATGGAAAACGCTGACGGAGGCACAGGATAAGACTCTCGGCGCCAGCCAAGCAGTGCCTCTGCCAGAACTCCCACCCCGGACAAAGACAACACGAGTCCCTTCTTCCAGAAGCTCAGGTCACGAATACTCAGGGTCCTGCCAACAAAGTGCCAGAGGCAGTTTGAAGCCTGTAATGCCGCACGTAGTCGGGCTTTTGTCTTTTAGGACCAGGATCAGGAGTCGCCACGCTGTGGGAAAAAGTAAGCGTTCTTCCTCCCCAAGGAGATCATCCACTCTGCTCTCCCCAGTTCTATTCTTGGGGTTCTCTACAAAAAGCCACATTTTCTGTGCATCCCCAATGCTCAGGGATTTTAACAGGCCCTGGAATCAGAGGGCAGATTCATGGGAAAAGTTCCCTGGAAAAGTCCCACCCTGGAAGCCAGGGTGGGAGCAGCGCCTGCAGGCAATGGGATGTTGGCATTAGCAGGTTCCCACCACCCTCCAGAGGTGCTGTCGACATCTGGGCCTGCGGTTGGGACCAGACGCGGGAGGGAGCGCTGGGTCCACGATGACTCAGCTCTCTTGGGACACGCTGCATGCAAGATAGCTCCAGCAGGCATATTCTAAAACGCATTTTCCCTGTCGCAGCCCAGATGTAGGATTCCTTCCGGCCACCAGCTCAGCACAAACCAGTGGCTGGCTCAGAGCTGCACTGCCCAGACCTTGTCAGGCCTCGTGGCCTCACCTCCCCATTAGCAGGGACCCTCCACAGGAGGGTTGAATTCACTTGGCTGACAAAGAAAAATAACTTCCCGAGCAGCCTGTTTGATAACCCCTCAGCACAGCTAAATGAAGTCTCAAAAAAACCCCAGTCCTCAGTTGGCTTAGAAGATCAATCTCTACTCACTGGGACACACCCACCCTCTAGTCTAAGCAACACTGATGAACTTAAGTGCAGTTTAATATGTACTCTGCTTCCCCTGCAAGGAAGGAAGAGATTTATAATATAAATAGGAGAGAGGAGGCTTTGCCTCATTTAGACTGTTCAGAAGACTGATGGCCAATTTGGAAGACTGTGGACAGAGAAACAAAGCCAGCACTCCACTTAGCCAGAGAAGGGCCTCTATCAAGTTGTAGGTGGCAGTCTTATGGATTAGCACGAGGAAAGGAAACTTTTACCTCCACTCCAACCTTCTAATAATAATAAATAATAATTATGGAAGCAGCTAGCATTTACGAAACATTTCTTGGTGTCATGCTCTGTGCCAAGCCCTCAATGATTTTCTCATTTAACCCTCACCATCACCTTTGATGATAACACCCAGCTTGCAGAGGAAGAAATGGAAGAACAAGGGTCATCAAGCTTATGAGTGAACAGGGCAGGATTCGAACCCAGACAGCAGAGGCTCCAGAGGTTGCAGCCTCCACCCTGCAGCCCTGGCTTACACTACCTTCTGGGTATTCATGGAAAGGTGTGGAAAGCTCAGGTCACCTTCACAGCCATGAACTCCACCGGTCTCCCCAGTCTGCCACTAGCCCTCGGGGAACCTCATCAGGCCATCGGCAGGCTCTTAACCAAACCAGCCGGGAAATGAAGCCAGACAGGGCCTCCATCATACTGGCCCCTAAATAGGAGAGTCTTCAGTGTGGAGAGCAGAGGCTGGGGGTTTGAAAGCTGTCATTAAAGGAAGGCTCAGAACTCAAGTTATCTTCACTTTCAGTGCAGTGTTTTTTGGTCATGCTTTCTGTCACTTCATACACCCTCATTATACTAAGTGTCTTCATTTTTATTTTTCTTAAAATTGAATGGGTCTCAATTGCAGGATCTCACCACAAAGCAGTCCCTAAAAGGAAACCCTGACGTGGGAGGGAATGCTCTCTCCTCCCACCTATAAAGCTGAACTTAAGGGTCCCTAGGGCACATTCACAGATGTGGCTTCCTGGTCCGGGTCTGCAGTGGAAGCAAAGGAAAAGAGTCAGGGTCAGACGAAGCCAGAAGAAGAGATTCTAGAATAATGAATCAGCAGGACGGTGAAAAGCCCAGAATACACAGCCCTGTATTTGTGAGCCTGACACTGCATTTGTACCTGCAGGGAGGGACAGAGCATCAGGCTGTAGACTGTTCAGTCCAGGCTAGTTGAAAAGAATCAAGAGGCATGTTAAATATCCACCCCTTCCCCTTGATTTACCCAGGGGAGAGGAGCTGGGAAATACTAGGAAAACCTGACAGTTGTACTTTGAAAACTACAGGTCAGCTAATGACAAACTGGCAAAAGGCTCTGAATGAATGGGCAGTTTCTGGACGGCCCCATTCAGTCTCAGCAGGTTCTTTCAGCCAAGGTTGCTTAACCCTTTAAAAGGTCTGTAGGGTGCCAGAGAGCCCGCCCACCACTATCACTTGTTTTTTTTGTGACAACAACCCTGTTTAGTTAATTAAGCTTCAGCCAAATGACTTATTGCTTCAAAAAGACTAAAAGGAACAGGAAGGAGGGTGGAGGGGGATCAGAGAAGCCATGGACTCGCCTTCCCTACACCCTACTGAGGAGGACAGTCTCTGCATCTCTGCTGAGAATGGCCCCGGTGGGAGGATAAAGCATTTGGACAGCTGGATTGTCTGAGAATCCTTGCTCCTCTCCCCCACCCCTCCACTCCAGCCCCAGCACTGAGGAGCTCACCTCCGGCCATGATCTGTTAAAGATCACAAAAGAAAACAGCTGCTTTTCATCACTCGGCCCCATCACCACTTATCAGTTCCCAGCCCTCTTCTCTTCCTCCTCCACAACCAATCCAAAGCCCCCCTGCGAGGATGAGTGGGAGAGGTCTGCTGTACTTTGCTCTGGGCTGTTCGAACTGGCTTCACATTTCGGCTTCAATGTATTACCCCCATAACTGTTGTCGGCTCATATCCCCTTCAAGAGGGATTAGAAGTCAAGAGTGAGAAAAGAATGGGCTGGAAGAAGCCTGTTAAGCAGAGTTTGGGAACTACTGGCCCACATCAAAGTTTGGGGGAGACCAGAAACCTAGACCCCCAGGGGAGGGCCCCCCTCTCACTGACACCAAGATCCTTTTATTTATCTCACCACCCTCCACTCAGAAATTAACTTACAATAATAGATTTTAGCTTACTCCTGGGATGGGGCAGGAAGTGACTCCCCCTTCCCCCAAGGAGAAAAAGACTCCCCGACAAGGGAAACTACTCTTCTGCACATGGGCCACCTGCCCCAGAAGGGCCCCTTCCCTCCTCCACTAGATCCAGCACATCTGTGCTCCCTCCCCAGTGCCCTTGCTTCCTCCACTGACTGTCCTTGGAAAGAACAATTGCGATCACAGCTGAACGGTGGAGCCTCTTAAGCCTAGCCACATGTCCCGGATACATCCCCAGCCTCGTCAGCTGTCCGGATCTGCAGGGTGGCCCCAGACCCCTGAGAGCCAAGAATACGCCGCCTCTTACATCACGCAACACCCCATACCTGCTGTGTAGGAAGGGGCTCCCTTACAACCAGGTTCTCCTCCTAGGCACCCAGTCTAAAAAGGAGCACTGGCCCCTGGCTAGTCGCTCTGCTGGCCCTGGCTCCCTTGGAAGCAGTCTCTTCCCCTCACTTTGCAGATGGGGAGATTAAGGCCCAAACTTAGCAGGTTTCCCAGCCTCTCGTCTTCTCCACTTTGGCTCCCGGCTTGGTCTGGAAGGAGTAATACAGCTTTCAGTATGTTGCTCTTCATTACCTCTTCCTCTGATTTTCTTTTGAAAGAGCAAAAATTTATTTCAATGAGTCACTGCTTTCCCTTCTGTCAGAGACCCAGGTTGGCCATGAGATGGAACCTTCTCCACTCTTGCCATTCTCCTTTCTTAAAAACACTGTCGTGTCTACATCCCAATCTAAACTTTTCAACTATACGCCTAGATCCTGAGGTTTGTGCAAGAGTCCTCCCCATGTGTTCCTCACAAGGGAACTTCCACGTCAGTAGGGGCCAGGTGACAGGCACTCTGGATTCAGAACCAAATTAAATGCCACAACTGTCTAAGAACAGTGAACTACTTCTCTGAAAAGAGAAAGGAGGCGCCTTTCTAAGCCTCCTGGGGACCAACACCTGGGTCCAACCTAAGAGGATGGCCCAAGGAAAGAAAAATGCTGCGGGGACCCAAAACTGGGGGCTGGAAGATGTCACACCGAGGGAGTTTTAGCATCAGGAATTAGAAGAGAAGCCCCCTTATGTGATCCCACAGCATTAAACCCCAGAGCAACACAACTCAAGGGCCACTTCTGAAGGTGTTAATGGGTGTTTTTTCCTCCCTTAATTTTTAAATCACTAACTTCCAGATTTTGCACTGAAAAGGCTGCCTTTATTTGTTATTCGAGTCGGCCTAACCTCTGGGCAGAGGCAATGTCAGGTTTACCAGAGACCAGGGGTAAGAGTATTAACCGGACAGTGGTGGAATTCCAAAGAGCCCCGTCTCTCCACCTATTCTGGAAGGATGAAAAGAAAAATGGCAATCTGCGAGCTCCAGATGCTCAGTAGCCCCCAGCCTCTGCCCTGCTTTAGCCAGGAATCGTTCCATTCTACGTGTTCTGTCCCTGTCCACCTAGCCCAACCAAAGCTTTCAGGAGACATTCCCATTTCAGAGGGTAATCTGGAAAAGGTCATGGGAATGAGCAATAGAGCATTTAGGCTCCACAAAAAGGGGAATGTCTCCTGAGTTCAGAATCTAATAAGGAAGGTAACCAAGAGATGTCTTAAAAGTCTTCCTCACCCTAGCTGACCAACATTTGTCCATCAAGGAGATTTCAGAAATCCGCCAACGTGCCCTACCCGATCCTGGCCACGCAGCTCAGTTGGTCAGTGTGTGCAATGCTTACATTAGGATTCGCCCAGAGCCTGCTGGCAAACGAGGATTCTCCCAAGGGCTGGGAAAGAGGAAATTCAATTTCACACTGGACGTGTCTACAACTTCTTTCTCACCCTTCTGCTGAGACAGAGAGAGAGAGAGGGAGAGAGAAAGAGAGAGAGAAAGAGAAAGGGGCCAACTGCAGCCCCCCCTTTCCTAGTCCACCCCACACCCACACATGAAAAGGAAAAAAGCCGAAAATTTCAGATGTTTATGCTCCATTCATGTGAAGATCCAGAGAACTCTAAACATTGTGAAATCACCAGTGCAATATTGGGTAGGGCCTCAGGCCAGAGGGAGCTTATTACGTACAAGATTGATAAGCCCACATTTCCTAAATGCCCTGGGCCCTCACCTTCCCTGAGAAGCTCATCAGAAAGACTGGAGAGCTTTGGCTGGCTAAACAGACAGACATGCACTTGCTCCCGCCCCTCCCCAGACTGGACAGAATCATGCCACTGGTTTGGAGGCAGGAAAGAGGGGGTTCCTATTGGGTCTGGGCACCCCAGTGAACTGACACCTTTTAGTTCTAACCATGCTGGGGGGCTCCTGGAGCCCCGATGCGCCAGAAGGCAGTCTCCTGCCCTCACCCAGGCCTGGCAATATGGATGCCCGTCCAGCAGCTGGTTGAATGAGGCAGCCAGCAGCTCTCTCCTCTGCCCACCACCCAGCCCCTCCAGCCCAGTTGGCTTCTCCTTTCCATCGCTCAGCCAGTCAAGCCATGCAACCATTTTTCACCTCTCTTGCCTCCTCTGCCCACAACCGCCAGGCCCCAATCAAAGAGAATTGAGAAACCGTCTTCTTGCACAAGAGCAGCTACTGTCTAAATGCTTTTTGATCGTCTGCGTGGAGGGGGAACTGGGCACAGCCCTGGTCCCAGTGATGGAGCCAAGCTCCAGCTGTCCTGGCTGGCCAAACCTGCCCTCGCCCCCCTTCATTGCCCCCGTAGCCTTGGCGGTTCAGAATTTTCAGAACGTACCGTCTCCATCCTTCTCTCTTCTCGGTGATGTCAAGCCTGGTACCACCAAGAAGGAAGGGGGAAAGCAGGAGCCTTATCTCTCCTACGCAAGCAACCTCTTCCTCCGGCTCCCACAAGCCCAGCGTTATGTAAACGCACCTTCAGCCCCCACCACAGCCCCAGCGCGGCCTGGGGGCCCCAGGGCCTGGCACAGCTCGGTGCCGGGGGATAGGGAGGCAAGAAGAGGCCGAGGATCCTAGGGTCCTGCAGAGGCCGGAGAAGGGAAAGGCAACTGCAAGGCAGCTGCACGGCATAAAATGCGGCAGCAGAGCAAAGGTCAGACGGCGAGGAACCGCCTCGCCAAAGAGAGGGAGCAGAAATGCCCAGTCCCGGGCCAGCTCCCCGGTGACCATGGAGTGGGAGTCAGAAGGGGAGAAAACCCAGTCCGTCACCGCTCCGAAGAGGAAAGAAAAACCTACGTCGAGCATAGGCCGCTGCGGCGGACTGGGGACAACTATGGCAGAGCTGGCAGCGTGGGCACCGAGCCGGGGGTGGGCGAGCTGCCCAGGGCGAGGGCGCCCGCCGGACCCAAAGGTGGCTACTGTCGGAACCCAGAGCCTCCCGTTCCAGCGCCCGAAGCGGGCGGTGGCAGGAGGAGGAAAGGCCAGGCCAGAGGCAAACTCCTGGGACACGCACGGGGCTTCCTGAGTAGCAGAGAGCGGGGAAGCCGGGCTTGGCAGTGCCCGGGGGTCGGAAACGCCGGTGCCAGGCTGTGAACACCCCCGGCGCCGTGCCGGCCCAGCCGAGGGCGTCAGGGAGCTGCGGCGCACCGCAGCGGCTTAAGGAGGAGCAGGGAAAGAGAAGGAACACTGAGGCGCGCCTAGAAATAGCGCACCATTTGCCCCAGCCCGAGGGGTAGTCGCGTCGCGGGTAGTTTCAGATCCCGAAACCGGCCAGGGACTTACTTTGAGGAGCCGCAGAGTCACAAGCATTGCTCCACGTCTGCAAATCCCTGAACCCGAGCGGGTCAGACGCCGCTGTCCTCGCAGACGCCGGCCGGAGGAACCGGCACGGCTGCCTGCGCTCCGCAGCGCCAACTCCGCGCTGTCAGCTCCTCTCGCTGCCTCCGCGGCGATGTTGCAACCACTGCCTGGGAAAATGGCTTTTTTATGAATGGGAGGGAAGGGAGCTCCAGTGCGCACGCGCGCCGTTGGCGATTCTATGAATGGGTGGGCACAAGAGACCCCGTGCGCGCATGCGCTGCGCTCCTTTTTTTATGAATGGGGGGCCGGAAAAGAACTTAACCCGTGATTGCTGGGGCTAACTCTAGCTCTTCCAGGGGCCGTCGTTCTTTTACAAAGGGGGGTGGAGGTTGTTGTTGACTTTTTTTTTTTTTATGAATGGAGGGCGGCGGCGACTGCAGCAGCTGGCTCAGCTGCGCGGGCTGTACCCCCTCCCAGCCTGCGAGAGGAGGTAAAGGCCACCTTCACGCCACTGCGGGCCTGGGCAGGAACCGTCAGTGTCGCTGGGGGGTGGGGGGCCACTGCGTCCTCTAGATCCTGGGCCAAGAGTCGGGTGGGGGAGGACACACCTGTATCTAGAGATCTCTACCCGCCGCAGGCAGTTGGGGGAGGGGGGCAGGGGATGGGAAGACCCCTGCTGGGGGCCTTCTCTTTCTCTGGATTAGGGCGTCGGGGAGGGGGAAGGGTCTTGAAGCTGTGTTTACCAAATATTAAGACAATGTCAAAGGTCCTTATTAAAGAAGGGCGGAGGGGGGATTGTTGAGTGAATCTGGTTCCTTTCCTGAGGCTGAGTTTCTCTTGAGTGAGTGTAGACCACCCCTCCCCCGCCATTTCTTGGGTGTGGACAGTGACAGGGCCGAGGCCTCTTCCGGCTCCAGTACCCCCGGGGCGATGCTGGCTATTCAGCTAGAAGAGACCTAGCCCTCGCCTTGCAACGCCTCTCTTCCCCCCCGTCCCAGTGTAACGTCCGCAGTGCCCCGGCGTCCGCCTGCCCTTTGCTGCCCTGGCTAGCTGCTCCCCCTTCACCCCCGTGCGTTTCCTAGCCCTCACGGGACTCGGGCTGGAAGAACCTCTGTCCACCAAAGGCTGCGGCCCTTTTCTGCTGCAGACACCTTTCCCCAACTACCCCACCAGCTCCCCTCGGAGGAATTGCGGCCGAGAATTGGCCAGGTGGATGGGTGGAGCCGGCCGCGCCGAGGATGCTGCTGGGGTGGCCGCGGGATTAAATAACAACAGGGCTCTTGAGCCGCAGAGGAAATGGAAATGGCCGGGGATCCTTTGCAGTTAATGATTGGGGGCGGGGGGTGGGGGGTGGGGGTGGGCTACAGCATCAGCCCAGGCCTGTGAAAAGAAAGGCCCCCGCCATTAGGCCTGACTCCGGGAAGGCGGGGAGCCCTCGCAGCAGGCCCAGCTCCGCCCAGGAACGGCGGAGGCTGTAGCCTCCGGGGAGTACGGGGTAGGGGGCGGCTTTGATGCGGGGATAAGCGCTGGGCAGGGCCTGCATCCCCTGTAAGGTTTGACGTGCTGGTGTTCTGACTTCACCGGGAGGTTGTGAAGCTATCTTTTTCTTCCTACGCCACTGCGCTTGGCTGTTGACGGAGGAGCCAGTGAAAGGCTCCCCGCCCAGGCCAGAGGTCTGGGGCTGGGACGCTGGAGACAGGCAGTGAAGGGACATTTTGCAGACCCAGACCAGAACCGAATGACACCGAGTCCCAGTCTAAAATGCTTTCTCGCTCCTCAGACGCACCTTTGCGGTGTGATTTACTCACTCAGCTCCCGAGAGCAGGCCCTCCCCAGGGGACCTCAGTCTTCCTCTCGGGGCCAAGACCTTCCTTAAAGCCATGAGAAAAATTGTTTACTAAGACGACAGAGCATATTACAGTTATTCAGGACCTCCCTTAACAGGTTTTGAAGTTCAATACCCTTATTCCCATTTGTTAGATGTAGAAACTGAGGCCAAGTGTCCTTCACCTGTAAATGGAACATCTAGTAAATTGTAGTGCTGATTTTCTGGATCTTTGCAACCAGTTCATTCTACTTTGCTGCCACCCCTTCTCAGCCTCACAAACCTAAAAACCTGTTTCTTGCAAGTCATTGAAGCACGTTAAACAAGGAAAGTTGGAGCAGTAATTTTCCAGCCAGTGTTCACTCATGAACTTGCTCAAACAAAAGGATGGGAATAAATAAATCCTTTCTAAACTATGGAAGAAAAGCAGGATGGGGTGGGGGGAGGGGGGCTGTTTGCTCTCCTGTTTCCTTTATTAGAGGAATTAGCCAGGAGACAAACAGGGTTCCATTCTTGATCTTTTCTCAGCTTTCCTGAAGGAGGAGATGAGCAGACCCTGGGCTTGGTGGGATGGTGGAATGATGGAGGAGCCCCCAGTCCTGAGCTGGCAGGAGCCTCTGATGCCCAGGTGGAGTGTGACTCACTGTCTGGAAGGGTACTGGGGACCATATTCTACTCCTACTTGGGACCTAAAGAGAAGAGGGATTTGGGGCAACTGTTATGAGAAATCATCTATCCATCCATCCACTCATTCATTCATATATTCTCTGCTGGGGCCTGCACTGACTTTGGGGACTCAGTGGTGAGAGACAGCCCTCCCTGCCCTTGTGAAGCTCACAGTCTTTGGGGGAGACAGACAGACTATGCAATTTGAGATTATGATGAATGCTAGGAGGGAAAAGGAAGCGGAATCTGAGGGTATGGGGAGTGGGAGGAAGGACCTGATTTTAATTGGGGCATCAGGGAATATCTTTCTGACAGGGCGCTTGTGGTTGTGAGTTGAGACTGAAGACTGAGAAGCAGTGAGCCTGAGGGAGGTTGAGGAGACTTGCCAGGCAGAGGGAGCCTGGGTGGAGTCTCTGCACGGGAAAAGCCTGACACAGAGGTGCTGACGGGAGGCCACAGCTTGGCCCGCAAGATTGAAGTCTGCCTGGTGGGGAGTTCAGATATTATCCTCTTAAGGGTTTTAACAGGGTCGTGACACACTCTGATTTGTGTTTTAAACCTTTCCAGCAGCCCAGGGGCCACTGGTTGGGGATGAGGGGACAGAGTGAAAGATGGTAGGGGAATGCAAAACATTTGCTCCTTAACACACCACATTCATTCTTTTGGACCGGGCGGCCAGTAGGCCTGTCCTGGGTGTTTTTTCTCCTTCATTTGCCTTTGTTTATTCCAAAGCAGCTCCATCTCTTCCCCAGGTACAACTGCTCTGCTAGAGGCAAAACCCTAACAACTGCGTTCCTGCCCGTGCTAACGACAGTCCTTTCACCGAGCCTCACTGTAAGTGTCTTCACCCCCACCAGATGGTGGCCAGGGGGAGTAGAGCAGATTCAGTTCTGAGTTTTGCACTCTTATTAAGCTCCTGGCCTTGCCAGGACCTGAGAGCTGACTTAGTGGGAGTGAGGAGAGGCAGGAATTCCAATTCGATGACAGACATTTATGGAACACTTACTGCGTGCCAGTCCTGTGCTTGGCATGTTTTCATATGTAGTATGGCTTTAAAAAGCTGTGTTCTGAGTCTTATCATCCCTCTTTTTCAGATAAGAAGTCAGAGGCTCTGTTTTAATTATTTATTAATTCCACGAGAAATTATTATGCACTTCCTGTGCATCAGGCAGAGTGCCAGGTGTTGGGGTTACAGTGATAAAAGAGATAGACACTACTTTTGCCTTTATAGGGCTTACAGTCAGTGGTGACACCATGGTGAGGGAGCAGGGGTGGGGGTGGGGTGTGCTGTCCCCTATAATCTTCATCAGTGCCCTCATTCATTTCTATATTCAACTGAATTTCCAACCTGATATCAAGTACTAAGCACTGGAAGCCAAGCCCTCCAACCCAAACAGCCCCCACCTAGACAGAAATTCTGGAACTGCTACTGTTTATAGTCAAGTAGGGGGGATAGACATTAAACAAATAATTGACCAAAGAATGATTTAATTACAGTTAACATCAGTGGTGCATGAGAGAGTGCAGAGAGCAAAGGAGGGGGCACAGCCTGGGAGCCCTGGAGAAGTTTCCCTGCGGCTCGGATCTGTAGAATGAGACTCCGCCAAGCTGGGCTCCGTGGCAGAAGGCCCAGAAGCAAGAAGGAGCCTTGGGGAGTGCTAGAGCAACTGAAGATAGCCAGGGGGACGCTAGTGCTTTGAGGAAGGGAGGACGTGTTAGACCGGAGGTTAGACCTCTCTTCTGGTGCTAGCCTCTAGGCTTTCCGGCTCAGTGTGTTCAGCTGTTTCAGCTCTGGAGGCCGGAGAGCTTGAAAGACAGATGTGCAGACACTGCCCACACGCTGCTGGGGTTCAATCCTAGCCTTAGACGCTCGATAGCCTTGGATGGGTTATTCAAACTTGATGTGCCTCAGTTTCCTCTTCTGTTGTATGAAAACTGATAGTAGTACTTACCACAAAGGGTTGAGTGGAATTTGAATGAATAATGCACAGAAGCACTTAGAACAGCGCCTGGTACACTGTGAGTGCTGAATACGCGTTTAGATGATTATTCAACACAGCCAGCCATTTTGAGGCAAGGAATGAGTTAGAATTTTAAGAGAAGCCCATTTATCTGGGTGCATCAAAACCTCAGAAAGAGATAAACAATCAAAAATGCAAACAAAGATTTCTTTATTAATAAATAGTTAAAACGGTAATACTATGACTGTCATCGCTGCTTTAACTAGTACGGTTTTTGTTGTATTTTCAACTGTGTTGCTGGGTATCTTAACTAGCTCACCAAAGAGTTGATTTTCACCATGGCCAATATAGATGCTTGAATTTTAGTGGCTGCAGATCCTGTGATAGAATGCTGAATGTTTGCTGAATGACAATTCTCTTGTATCACTATGGGGCAGGGGGTGTTCAGCACTCCGTGACATTGCATAAGTCTTAATCTCTTCAAGCCTCTATTGTAAAAAGGGGATAGTCATAGTAGCTGCTTCAGAGGGTTGTTGTGAGTGATAAAGGACATGATGATGATGATAGGGGCCGGCCTGGTGGTGCATCTGTTAAGTGCACACATTGCACTTTTGCAGCCCGGGGTTTGCTGGTTTGGATCCCAGGTGCGGACATGGCACTGCTTGGCAAGCCATGCTGTGGTTGGCGTCCTACATATAAAGTAGAGGACGATGGGCATGGATGTTAGCTCAGGGCCAGTCTTCCTCAGCAAAAAGAGGGAGATTGGCAGCAGTTAGCTCAGGGCTAATCTTCATCAAAAAAAAAAAGATGTGATGTGTTTCAAGTAACTAAGCTTAGAGCCAAGTGCACAGCTATTTTTGTGGTCCTCTCATTGCTCTCTGTAAGGGACTTTTTAAATATTTTAATTTGTTATGATAATGCAAGTCACTAGCTTCCTCTTCCCCATCATTCCTCTAAGACCCTTTTACTCTTTGCTGAACAGGGTACTGGAATGTTACACAAAAGAGGCGGTCCTGGAGACCTCACATCTGGAGTCATTTCTTCATAGGTGTGAATGTAAAGTCAGATTTGCTTAGTATCAGCTTTGGCTACTGAATCAAGGCTTTTATGAATATATTTATATGGCACAGTTCAAATTTGCATTAGTTCAAATTCACATAAAATGCAAGCACAATATTCATTTCAGATGTGGAGCCAAATTCAGAGCAACCATGGAGAGCAGTGAGCAGGAAGAGAAGAAAAACAATGGCCAACAGTAGCCCCCTTGGTCCTTGCTCGCAAATCACAGAAATTCCCTGGTAACCTTGAAATTCAGGTGATGCAGTGGTTGGTGAGTTCTGGCTTTGGGAATAGCCTCCCTTAGGCTGCCCAGAGTACTGCCACTTAATTGTTGGTGTATCTAGGCAAGTTACTGAACCTTTAGGCTCTCAATCTTATCTATATAACTGGGCATGATGATTCCTGCTCCATAGGGTGGTTCAGTAATTACCTCGTAATGTCTGTGTCCTTCATATAACAGAATGAAGGCCTGGGAGAAGCACAGGGATAAGGAATTGATGTCTAGACTCTGGAGGGGTCAGGAACTTTCCGGAGGCCCAATCTTGGCTTTTCTGCTCCATGAGAGGGATGGGGGCTGCACCCTTCTTTCTGACTTGACAGTTGTGTTTTGGGCCACCTTTTCTCCCCTGGCCTCCATTCATGCCACTTCATTTGGTCAATCATTCATTCAATCAACATTTAAGTACCTTCTGAGTACCAGCTGTCATGCCAGGCCCTGAGGATACAACAGCAAATAATTTAAAGGAATCCCCTGCTCCCATACAGCTTAGTCTAATGGGAGGAGCAAATGATAAAAAGTAAACACCCAAGTAATAAATAATTTCAAATGTCGGTCAAATCAATAAAGGGAATAATACAAGGATGTGATAGCAATTGGGGGAAGGAGCCAGCCCCTTTAGAGAGGTCAGAGAAAGCCTCTCTGGGCAGTCTGAAGGCTGAGGAGCAGAAGCCACACAAATGTCCAGGAAGGAGGGCCAAGTGAGTGCAAAGACGGGGGCAGGCGTGAACTGGAGTGTTCCAGGAACACTGGCACCTTGGGTCTGAGGCTGGAGTTGCTCATCTCTGCTCCAGGACATTCTGGCCTCCTCCAGCTGACCTGCACCACACCGGGGCTGGCTCAGGCTCCAGACCCTGGAATACATGGCCAAGTGCACCAACCTCAGGCGCTGGGGAAGAATTTACAACCATCCCGAGCCTGTTTACCACCTTCCAAGGAGCCTTTGGAAGGCACAGGATCTTTCTCAAAACCAATTTTTATAGAACCATGTACAAAGCAGTTCAACTGGGCAGGATTGTTTTTCTTTTCTTAAGTTATCTTTTTATTGAAGTATAACATTTAGTTGAACCACATGAAATTGCTGATATTCAACCACTTTTTACATACAAAGATGGCAATTTCATGTGATTCGACATAAATACATTCAGAAAAGTACATAGAAGTGTACAACTCAATGAATTTTCACAAAGTAAACACAACTGTGGGACTAGCGTCCAGGTCAAGAAACAAAACATTACCAGCATTCTGGAAGCCCTGTGTTTTAAACTTTATATAAAAGGAATTATAAAATAGATACTTTTTTTGGTGAGATTCATCCATGTTGTTGCGTGTAGTTCCTTTTTTGTTGCTATATAATATTCCATTGTGTAGTATAGTCATAGTACATGACTATACTACACTATATTTATTCATTCTACTATTGATGAACATTTATATTGTTTCCAGTGTTTGCCTCTATGAACAGTCTTATACATGGCTTTTGTTGAACACATGTTTGTATATCTATGGATATATTCTTTTTTTCTTTTTTTTTTGAGGAAGATTAGCCCTGAGCTAACTGCTGCCAGTCTCCCTCTTTTTGCTGAGGAAGACTGGACCTGAGCTAACATCCGTGCCCATCTTCCTTTATTTTATATGTGGGATGCCTGCCACAGCATGGCTTGCCAAGCAGTGCCATGTCCACACCCAGGATCTGAACCGGCAAACCCCAGGCTGCTGAAGTGGAATGTGCACATTTAACCACTGCACCACCAGGCCGGCCCGTCTGTGGATATATTCTGAGGACTGGTTCAGCTTTAGTAGGTATTTCCAAACAGTTATCCAAAGTGGTTGTACTAATGCACACTCTCTGCACCGCTTTATTCAATGCCTCCTTGCTGACTAGCTCTTGGGCCAGGTTCTGGGCAAAGGATGAATGGGGGCTTAGTAGTGGGAGGGTACATGACATGATTGATGGGATGAATCTCAGTTTGTGTAGTGATTAAGGACATAAGTCCTGGAACCAGCCTGGATGGCCTAGTGGTTAAAGGTTGGCATGCTCTGCTTTGGCGCCCAAGTTTAGTTCCCGGGTGTGGAACCACACCACTCGTCTGTCAGTAGCCATGCTGTGGCAGTGGCTCACATAGAAAAACTAGAAGGACTTACAACTAGAATGTGCAACTATGTATTGGGGCATTAGGAAGAAAAAAAAAGAATGTAAGTCCTGGAGCCAGCTGGGCCCAGGTTCGATTGTTACTCAGCTCCTCTATTTATCTGCTACCTCTGTGACCTTGGGCAAGTCACCCAACATCACTGTCTCAGGTGATACATACATATATGTATTTCATCTGTAAAATGGTATAAGTATAGTAACTCATCTCACAGAGTCTGCCACCCATTCCTTTACTTGAGAAATGTTTGTGGACTGCCCGCTGTGTGCTGGGCTCTGTCCTGGGCACTGAGAATTTAGGGGTGAACAAGGCAGATGATGCTTTGCCCTCATGGAATGTATGGTCTAGCTAAGGGCAACAGATAATAATGGAGCAAGCAAATAATTA